TCGTATTTATGACGTTTTGGTCGTTGTATGCTCCGGCCTTTTTCAGATTATATTTGTGACATTAAATATGTGTTATCAACCAATGGGGTCATTAGAAAAAAAAATCCGTGTGCTAACACTAAGTTCAATCGCAAATCTGTTGTAAACAGTCTAGCAGGCAACGTTGTAATTAAAATGGTGTCAGAAATCGAATCTTCCCTTCATAACAGCAGAAACGCACTTTCCCTCACCAAAGCCCAAAAATCGTTCCCCGCCTCCCCAGTAAGCAAAAAGCAACAGCCTTTATTCTCCGAGCGATTTTTCTGATTGGCCACGTCATTCAAGGAATAAAGAAGATTAGCTTAGTTTCTCTGATACTTAAAATAGCAGGTTTTTGCTGTTTTCTTTGTTTCCCCCTCAGCAGACTATGCACAAAACACAAACTCTTTTTCGAGGTAGATGACTTCTCTTTCGTTACACCTCCACCCTGTCACATGGATGACAGCCAGGGGCAGGCCTCTTTACTCTTGAGCTTCTCCGAAGCGGGGCGATTACTGGAGGGGATTGAATGGTATGTTCAGAAGACTTATCTCATGAGGAGTCCTCTGGTCTGACAACCACACGCTCAGAGTCTTCACCATCTGAAGAGGTACTGGCCCTACCTCCAATGGTGATTATCCTTTCACTTCCTGAGTACTCAATGCTAGTGTCACTTGCCGAAGTGTCCGAACCTATACAGGTACGCAAAAGACTTGCCTTGGCATTCCATCAACCAGCATAGTGCGCGAGTTGTGGATTCCAGAGATACGTCCCACCCGGTACCGAATTGTAGACCCGCTGTGTGGGGTTTTTACCTACAAACGATCGCCCAAGTTGTATGCCGTTCGTTCTTTTACTCATTGCCTGGCGCAGTTGAGTGTGACACATTATCTTTAGGGGTGATGTTGTGCCAATATACTGCTTCCATTATGGAACACTGCTTCCTGTCAGCAATTCTCTTGACGCAGCGATGGCACCACTCGATTATGCCATTTCCTGATGGGACGTATGCGCAGTGAAATCGGGGGTGGTCTCACCATGAATCCAAAATATCTTTAAAGAGTCCATTGCGGGATACAGTATCGTTGTCAGTGCGGAGTTTCGTCGGAGGTCCACGTTCAAAAACAACGCCCTCAAGTGGTCAATTAATCTTACGGAATCCTGTCGACGCAGGCATCGCCTAATTATGATCCGGCTTGGGCCACAGTTAATCAGAGTTAGTGGTTTCCATTGTGGTGATTAATGCCCATTTCAACATGGTGCCACATTTTTGGCCATTGCACAGGCGCTAGGTCGATGGACTGACACTCCTTGCCTTCTCTGACCATCACTCTGACGGCAGCTTTGGATACGGAGGGATCAATCTGCCTCACGAAATATTGGGTCTGTTTTATACCGGGATGTCCGCTCTCATAATGGACAGATTTTAGTAGATCTGAGTTACAGTTGTTCGCTGATGTTGTACAGACATGTCCCACCGGCTCTACCTCATTCTGAATTGCGTCGAGTCATCTCTGGGGCACCATTGTTAAACTATCCAACTTATTCCGGTTGGATATGACCGGCTGTATGTCCACTGATAAGTTGTATTCACTTACCAACGTTCCTAGTGTCTCTAACCTCTGCGTTTGATAAAGAGAGTAGAATGCGGATCCAACCGCCCACAGAAAAACTACTCACAATGCATCACTGATTGTATATAGTCGAACAAAAATCCAAAGCATATGGCCTGACGATTGCGTTTATGCCTCAGGGTGATGACTTCAATGTCCACTTTCATATATATATATATATATATATATATATATATATATATATATATATATATATATATATACATGATTGTTACGAGGATGCATTTCTATAATAAGGGATTCCACTGAGTTCTACATGTTATTACAAAAGAGTTTTCATTCAGGAAGTAGTTGCAAAATAGAGAAATTAGAAATAGAACGTTTGAAAGATTCTAGACCATTCCAGTATATTCGTGAAGAATCTAGATGATTCGAGAAACATCCAGAAATATGCAAATTAGGTGTTAGCCCCTATAAAAATGGGATTTTGGAAAAGGGTTGTCAGTTGATGAAAAGGAATTTCTGCTGTTATCAACTCCGGCTTTTGATTCAAGGACTATTATATCCAGCCGAAAGAATCTCTATAAAAAGTTGCCGACCAACAAAAACCCAAAAGAGAATTTCATGGAACAAATTTGGTAAATTGAATTCTGACTAATTTTCATTGACCAAACTAAAAGTTAATATTTATTTACACATCTTTGTGGATTTCCAAATATAGCACTTAGATTACTTCACTAGCCCTAAAGTGATAAAGATATTTGATTCCCTTTCCTTCTTCCTCGTAACACTTCGACAGTAACTCTGTGTTTTCTGTTTTGTAGGCCACAATTGTTTATCCTGTATATGTTTTATATTGTGTTTTAGTAAATTAAATATTTGTTTGTGATTTAGCTCTGTGCTGTGGTAAATCATTTTTTTCCTTTGTCACAATTATCAACACGTAACAATGATGTAACGAGATATATATTTTATATATCAAGAACAGTATTGTGGAAATTGTATGACAAAGTGGAAATAGTTTCAGAATTTCATCGGAATAAATTTGTTATGTTGGTAGGACTACACTTGCGTCGGTTGCCCAACGTAAGGAGACTGACCAAATTTTTGACTTAAAAAATACTATTCGGATCAAAGGAGAAATAATACACTACGACGTAAATGTCGTAAATTTAATCGCAAAGTCATCTACAGTAAATTTACGCCCAGGCTCCTACAGCATTTCACCATCCCTGGCAGGATCTTCTAATATCACAGTGTGGAATATCTACTTACAAAAGTGATGGAAAGAAATAGAAAAGTCTCTGAATGAATTCGGCTAGATAAATAAAAAAATACTTCCAAATTCTCAGTCCCCCTTATCGTGCGCACGTGTCGTCATAACAACATAACAAATTCAGTGCGATGAAGTAAACGTTTTTTTCTAATATTATATATATATATATATATATATATATATATATATCAAATATATGGTGCAGTTCAAATATTAGTTCACTTTATAATGAATCATTCATACAAAAAGTAGATTAGTAAAGTTAATGATATGAAATGGCGAAATCCTTTTCGCTAACAAAATTTTAAAGATGCATTAACCTACTAATCACTGATGAATGTTATGATCCTTGTTTTTTAAAATTATAAAACAACAAAAATTATAAAAAATTATAAAACAACAAAAAATTCTCAAATTGCTATATTAGTAAAAAACGCAGTCACTTAAATTATCAAAAAAAATATCAACCTTAGCGTTGCGACTGCACGCTCCACAAGTTTGTAGCCGTTATCAATAACACATTTCAATTTTTTGTTTTATATTTCATCTACTTCTTGTATAAATGATTCATTGTAATATATATATATATATATATATATATATATATATATATATATATGTGTGTGTGTGTGTGTGTGTGTGTGATCATCAGTAATAATGCAATAGCCAATACCTTGATGATGACATTGTGCTATGTCGAAAGTACATGGAATAAAAGAAATATGCTGATTTTCTCTTGTGTTTCAAAAACAACAGCAAAAAACTTATCCGTGGATATGAATGGATCCAATTGAAAATAAATAGACAGAACATCTCTAAATTATTCAACGAAATAAGTCTCTCTCTCTCTCTCTCTCTCTCTATATATATATATATATATATATATAGTCATCCGCATACAAGCCTGTTTCGATGTATCACAGCTCGTCAGTTTGACTAGACACCCGATTGCTTTAAGCCGGAATCGGAACTCGACCGATTTGGTATCAGTCCGAGATTCTACCCCTAAGCTATCGGCGCACGCCAGAGAAAGGAAGAATTTTAACGTATTATATACGTGATGTATACAAAGACCACTCGCCAAGATCGCTCAGTTTATGAGTGATGCGTGATGCATTAATACCAGGAGCAGCCACTGTTTTAAGATTTCCCTTTATAGTGCTGAATTGACAAATGAGGGCATATATATATATATATATATATATATATAGTATACAAAAGTCTCAAACATTAAAAATTCGAAAAGCTTTTTGAATTTGTAGGTCTGATGAATTGGATCGTGATTACTATTCCAAAGTAATAAATTATAAGCATGGAATATTAGTGTTTGAGCCTTTTATATTATATTCTTATTCTGTTCTGGAAATTGAGTTCTACCTGGATTCTATCCTCTGGGGAATATATATATATATATATATATATATATATATATATATATATATATATATATATATATATAGGATTGATATATCGATATGATTGAGGTTAGATGATATTCCGACGGAATGAGAGAAAATAGTCTTTGATTTCACAACAGAAGATTTGCGAAATAAACTCTGACTTAATTTAACGTTTAATATTTAAGTCTATTACAATATTTTTAGTTGGATGGGCCTATTCATGATTGATTGTTTTGTTTTTTACGGCTTATCAACCTTTTGCTTGTTACTGGGCTTATTAAAACAACTCCGTTTATTAAGTGCCTCATTGTATTGGGCTCCAAAGAGTCTGTGTCTGGAAAAATGACAATCTCTTTCTATATATGCATGGAATGTTTAACGCATATTTATGTCCGCCTTTGACAGTTGATGTTGAAATTTGCATTTATACGAATATTTTATACCGTTTAGATCCCAGACAATCGTCATAGTCATGCTATTTGTATTTTACATGTGTTTGCAACAGATTTCTTGATCGGATGTTTGTGTATATTCAATGGAAACCCGCCAACAGTTATTTTTTTTTCCGCGCGTTCTATCTGTTTATCTTTTCTCATCGCAACAGCCTGCCAAGAAATATGGCGTCATGTGGTCGGCGGTCAAGAGGGGGAAGCCCATATTTCTCTTAACCTTTCTAACTCCAAAGCTGTCCACCTGACGCTTTGCTTTTTGTTTGATCATTTCATTTGTCAGGTAACTCTATCTATCTATCTATCTATCTATCTATCTATCTATCTATCTATCTCAGTCTGATCATATCTATCTATCTATCTATCTATCTATCTATTTCAGTCTGTTTACATTATCTATCTATCTATCTATCTATCTATCTATCTATCTATCTATCTATCTCAGTCTGTTCATATCTATCTATCTATTTCAGTCTGTTCACATTATCTATCTATCTATCTCAGTCTATTCATATCTATCTATCTATCTATTTTAGTCTGTTCACATTATCTATCTATCTATCTATCTATCTATCTATCTATCTATCTATTTCAGTCTGTTCACATTATCTATCTATCTCAGTCTATTCATATCTATCTATCTATCTATCTATCTATTTTAGTCTGTTCACATTATCTATCTATCTATCTATCTATTTTAGTCTGTTCACATTATCTATCTATCTATCTATCTATCTATCTATCTATCTATTTTAGTCTGTTCACATTATCTATCTATCTATCTATCTATCTATCTATCTATCTATCATTATCTATCTATTTTAGTCTGTTCACATTATCTATCTATCTATCTATCAATGAGAATTTTTCTCTTACCGAGTTTACCGCCAGCTGTACAAGACATTTTCGTTACATATTCTTCGGAGTAAGTGTCATTTTTGTTTGCCTCCCATCATCTTGTGTATCCATTGTTGTCTTTCTTTGTCGTCTTATTCGTCTGAATTGCGTGGATTGTTTCAAATTGTGTTGTGGTGACGAGGGTATGCCGACATCATGTCGGAGCCCGCATCTCTTCCTGCTTCCACTACTGAAGTAACTCCTTCGGCATGGGCAAGGGATAGGCCCCCACAAAAAATTTAAAAGAAATTTAAAAGAGAAGTTTGATCCATATGTTAAAGGAAATGAGTTATTACCGGTGCCGTCTGTATTGGACACGTTGAATACAAGGACAACAACGGACCTCAAGACTCGGAAGCTAAATATCGTGACTAGGGAAGTGATGGAGGAGGCCTTGAAAAGTCTTCAAATTGCAGCCCAAATTCTAGCAAGAAGTTAGTCAATGTGGGATATCTTATGTGGGGTCCCAGTAATCCTCGATCCTTCATTATACAGGATATTAAAATTAACGTACCCCTCGGACGTTGGCGGTATTGTCCGAGATGGTCGTATGACGACAGAGATGAGGACAGGGAGCCTTGGACGATCCATCGGTGTCCTTTCATCCGCAGATTTCTGTCTAGTCTTTGAGTAGGGGTATCAATTTGAAAAATGTCTCTCAAGATAGCTAGTTTGAATGCGAGGGGCTTGAGGGATCGGAGTAAGGCCGCTCGCCTGCTTCTTGATCTCTTGTCGTTCGGTGTAGATGTAGCTGAGATTCAGGAGATGCGCTTTGCTTGCGAGGTTGATGCGCGTGTGCTGTCTAGCGACTATGTTGTCTACTCAGCATACGTGGACCAGCCTGCCTGAGGTGTTTCCTTGTTGGTTAAACGTACCCTGGATGCGAGGGTGAACCTTGTCCACGTCGATGCGGGTGGCCGGTCGATCGTGGCTGATATTGCAGTGAACAGTAATTCGTTTCGGATCGTTGCGGTTTATGCGCAGTGGGAGCGAGTCTCGTTTTATCGGCAGTTGGGGCCGTTCCTGGTCGATTCTTCGCGCTTAGTCTTAGTGGGAGACTGGAATGCCATCCTGGACCCCAAGATAGACAGGGTGCAGGGAGCTAGTGGGACGTCATTGGGTTATCATACCTGGTTAATCTGATCGACGAGTTCGGTCTCGTCAATAGATACCGAGTCGATAAACCCGGGCGGGAGATGTGGACGTGGACTCGTAAGTGGCCGTCTACCCAGGTGGCCAGCTACCTGGATAGAATGGTAGTGAGAAGGGCCGATGTAGACCTGCTAGATTGTCCAACGTTCCACTTGGTTAGGCTATACGGACCATAGACTCGTCTGTGCCCGTATAGCGTTAGATTCTATGCCTAGAAGTTCAATCTGTCCTTACTGGACAGGCGGGACTTCCAGCAACAGCTAATTAGACTAGTGCAGCGGGAACTAGTGGGGCGGTTATTGAGAATAGGTGGTGGGAGAGGCTTAAGGATAGGATTAGGTCCTTCACCACCGAATATAGCCAGCGGCTCGTACTAGATAACGCTAAAAAGGTGAAGACACTTAAAGATATTCTGTCCCGGGCGGAGGCTGGGGGGATTCCCTAGAGATAGGTTTAGCTAAGCGGGCCGTGGAGCGCGCGGCTAGCGAGAGCTACCAGGGTCAGGTAGTTAGACATAGGTTAAGCAAGATGTCTAACGAAGCCGTGAACATGAGCGCAAAATTGCACGATCCTAGAGGGTGACGATGCGCAAGCCGCGCTAATCAATTTAGATCAGTCCAAGGCATTTGATAGGGTCGACCATCGGTATCTGGCTGCTGTCCTGCAGGCCGCCGGATTCCAACCCGACTTCTGAAAGTGGATTAGCCTCCTGTATCGCTCCCCTAGTGCTGTGGTATAGGTGAACGGAAAGCGGTCGCGCGCTTTTGCGCTGTCTTGGTCGGTACGTCAGGGTTGCCCACTGTCGCCCTACTTTATGCTTTGGCGTCGGAGTCTCTCCTTCGCCGGCTGAGGGACGGGGCGTGCAGTCCGGCCCTATGTGGAATCACTGTCCCTGGTGGGGCTCGAGCCAGGGTTTCCGCGTACGCTGATGACGTATCCATTTTCGCGTCGTGCCGCAGCGACATTGTGGTGGTACAGAAGGCGCTTGAACGGCACGAAAAGGTCACAGGGGCCAAGATTACCCGAAACAAGTCTTCCGACTTGCGGTTAGGTGCCTGGAAGGGGGTCTCTCTTCCGGGACCCTTCAGTTGGACGGACGGTCCTGTCCGCATTCTCAAAGTGTGGTTTGGACCCGACCTCCAGCTGGAGAAAAATTGGTCAGAAGTACAGGCAATGGTCGGAGCGTCGGTCTGGACTTGGCTTCGACGGAGGTTGTCCTTGAAGGGTAGAGCTGAGGCGTGTGCCACTTACGTCTTTCCTCTCGTCCTTTACCGCTTGGCTGTACTCGCTCTTTGCAAGGGCCATAGGAAGGCGGTCGAGCGCTTGTTCTCCACCCTCTTGTGGGGTGGGCGCAAGCAGAAGGTCCGTAAAGAAGCTTGTGTCCAATGTCTGCGTCATGGGGGGCTGGGATTGGTGAGTCATCGACACGCCTGGAGGTTAGCTTTCCTACGCCGCGTTTTGACAGAGGATCGATTATGATGGGGAGTGTTAGGGACGGCTTCCCTAGCCTTACTATCACTCCTCCCATTTCCTGGGCTAAGCGCCGTCGTAGGTCCGGGAAATTGTCGACTTTCCTCAACGAGTGTCCAGCGGCCTTGAGGGCTATTCAACGGTCCAGTGATCTTTCACGGCCTCGAAAAGTCTTTTATCGTGAATTAGTGGAGGGGTTCGTGAAGGACCGTCTCTGTGAGCGGCTCGGCTTGTCGGTGGACGAGTTGCGTTCTTTCTGGTCTTGGGCGCCAGCGGCGAATTACCTCAGTAACACTGAGTTTTCGCTTACCTGGCGATTGATCCGTAACGTTTTGTCGCCCCTGTATTGGGGTGTTTCTAACGTTGCTAGCCGTTGCAAGAATGGTGATCTGGATGACGCGAAAGGAGAGGATCTTGCGACGGGAACGCTATTCTCATCAGGTTTTTGTCAGATACTTTCAGCATCAGCTGAAAGTGAAGATCAGAACTGATAGAAAGCGTTTAGTGTCGACAGATTTCAACGAAAGGTGGGTAAAAGTAGCGAGTTTGGTTCGCGTGAAAGGGGCTATCATTGAGTTTCTTTTTAAAGACCTCTTTCATCACAACCAGGCGGTTTCCTGCGAACCATCCCCCCTGGTTAAGGTAGACCCTCTTTTGAGTACCTAGTTAATGTGAGTGTCGTTCCTGGTCTGTTCCCGGCTCCTTACTTCTGTTATGAGCCAAGTTGAGATTCCCAACATCCCCAGTTTGTTTTGTCCCCTTTTTCATCCCGACTGGTTAGTCTTTGATTTCCCCACGCCCTACATTTATTTTTCACCTCTCCCATTCCGTTAGAGAGTTAGCCACTTGATTCTGTCTGATGACAGAATACAGCGGCAACTCTAATTTTTTATGGGGTCTTACTAACATCAATTATTTTCTGTTAGTTTCTGTTTTATATATAATTTTTGTATTGGTATTTAGAACCTTCCCCATCATTTCACATCATCGTCAGATTTATATGTATGTATATATATATATATATAAATATATTTTATGAACATTTGTACATAAGAAATTTTAAATCATGGGGTTCATTTTTAGGTTCCCTTTGTGGATGTGGTATTGTGGTATATGTAGGAGTAAAAGGTGAAGGTTGAATTCTTTCGGTGAATGGTTTATTTGTATTGAATGAATGGGTCGCGAATCGGGTCAACTACGTATAGGATAGGTAAGGATGACCAACCTCAACTCCAATCCCCACTTTAAGGCCATGTGCCACAATTATTGTATTTTACAATAATAAATAGAATCTATCTATCTATCTATCTATCTATCTATCTATCTCAGTCTGTTCATATCTATCTATCTATCTATCTATCTATCTATCTATCTATCTATCTATCTATCTATCTATCTATCTCAGCCTGTTCATATCTATCTATCTATCTATCTATCTATCTATCTATCTATCTATCTGGGTTGTGGAAAATTTAGCGGTTCCGAACGAGCAATCGGTGGCCGAATTCCAAGTTGTGCCGACTTCGTAAAAATTACTTTTCGAACAAAAATCCTTGGTAAAATATATGGGTTTCTTTTAGCCAATAGTTCAGTTTTACAAACTGAGATTCAAAAACGTGATAAATCTCGTATTTTCATAGACCGCTCAAAATCATGTTGAAGACTTTCTAATTACGTGTAAAACTTCCACAAAAAATTACAGAATGATGATTTGCAGAATGTTCCTTTTTCTTTTCTTTTTACCTTTTTCTTTTCTTGTTACTTCATTTTCATTGTTGTCCTCAGTGACATTGGTCGCATTTAACTTTTCTTTATCGGATCCCAGAAACAGTCCATACGCATTTGACGATGAAAGCCAAATCTCTTCTGTCTGTCAGACAAACCACACACAAATCGGCTCGAATTTCAATTAAATATTGAAAACTGTGTAGACGTAATTTACTTTCCCCATTGATTAAAAAATACAAAATGTATCTCTTTAAACCACGCCATCAGACTTTATTGAGTTTTTGCATGAATTTTGAAAACCAAACCAAGAAAGTGTAATAAACAGATCCAGTATTCATTTTTTTTATCCTTTAATTATTTTTATATAATTTAAATATTTTTTAATTATTATAAAAATTTTACAGCTTCAAGACAATAAATTTCTATTTCTTCACTAGTTTTCTCGGTCGCATTTTTGGTCATCTCCCTCCACAGCTTTCTGTTTTTTATTTGCTCTCAGCCATATTTAATCCTTTATAATTCTGATTTCTGTATACAGCACGTCTTGTTCTATACATTTGCATAAAATTAAAGAAGGCTTTTGCTACTTTTTCTGGATTTCTTGCCGTCGATTTGTCTTGTGTGTGTTAAATTCTCCGAACTTTCCTTTCTTATTATGTATCCAAAAGATTTCAACTGTCGCAGCAATTATCAACAGTTCATGTGACTTACTATTATCCGTTAAAAAAATTCTGTGGATATGCAGGTGGTGTATTCACTAGCGGCTTGAAATGAGAAAACGAGTTCGCATTCTAATTGGGGTCGTTGCATTTACATATGCTCAAATATTCATGGAAAACGTATGAATCTGTATTCTTCTTCTAGCTAGAGGTTAAAGTGTAGGACTTGTATCTGAAAAAATTGTTTTTCTGAAAAGAATTGTGAAGGTTATATTCTCCAAAAAAGATTTATATTTACAATCCAAAATAGGTTTCAACTTTAAATAACACACAAAGGGTTGATAAGCCGTAAAATTAATCTTATAATATCATAAGTTTTTCAAACTAATATTCCTATCCTTTTTTTATTATTATCACAAGTTTTCTGAGGAATGCCACGACTAAAACGTAATGATTAGACTGACAAGAATGAGGATATTATTCTGCGTTGGAGATTTTTTTCTTCCACTACGAATAAGGCGTAAACTAATTATGGTGCTTGGGAAATGAAACGAACCAAAACCAATTCAGAAAAATTGTTTGAATAATTGGGAATAAGGGTTGAATGAATAAGTAAATATCAGTTCACTCAGCAAGGGGACCCTAAATTTTTATCAATCGCAACGTATTGATGTGCCCTCAAAAAGGCCCCGTACCTTGAGCGACAATTGGTACCCAGGATCAACCCAGATCTGATACGATCCGTCGCTAAAGATGCTGGAAAAATGGTCAGTTCACTGTACCTCTTTAGTAAGTACCTGACTCCTTGTACTATCTTCTACCTTTACAAGGTCACGCCGAAAATGGAGCAAGACTGCAATATATGGGTAGGAGCAAGCCAGTTTATTCACTTTCCAGTCTTGATAAAGTTTAAAAGTGTCTCCGCGTCCTTTTGTGTGATGAATTTTCCACTCTACAATCGCTTTTCCACAGACAAAGCGTTGCAAGCTTTTCGTTACTCTCTCATTATTTCCATGGAAAACTTTAAGACAAATCCATTCGCCGCTTACCACAATCTTAACCTTGGACACTTCGTTATTGTCAGAAAGTTTATCTCGGGACATCAATTACGACAGAATCGTGAGTTCGACCCTCACTGGGAGCCCCCATACTTTCGGTCCTTTGCCACATCTAAGCTACGCTTAGAAAGTTACCACTATCTTAACTTGTTTATGTCTAGGGATGAGCATTATTTTACCCAGATATAGCCATAAACTGTGACTCTTATTCTTTAGCACACTGCCTTGAAGAGGGTAGGAACATTATTGTAAAATAAATCAAATCAATAAACCCTTGAATGTCCTCTATATGTTCTGATATTTTCAAAATTATTCGACAGAACCACATCTTAAGCGTTTCAATGCTTTCTTCCTCTTTAAAGAAATATTCAGCATTGACTGTTTTACAGGAGATTTGCCATTACACAGCAGTTCAACATTCTTCTTTCTGTTCTTGTGTTGTTTTCCAATTCGTTGCTCAGTTTGTAAAAAAATCTTTTGACATTCCAATGTACGTTCGCATTTTTGTGTCAAACTTCCCGTCCTCTGCTTACTGCTGCTATTTTTTTTTTTTTTTGACTTCTTTGATTAATTGTTTACTTTAAAGTTTCTTTCTTTCGGTCCCCAATTTACAAAGAAATGGAATGCGAACTCTTTCCGCTTTTGATTGAACGTATATTTTAAGGTCGAACACGTGACTCATTCTTTACATTGACTTCAAAAGAAAAGCGAGGGAAACGGAGTCAAATAAATGCCCGACGATGTATTTCGAGAGGAAATTGTTTTAATTGATGTCGTGTAAAATAAATTTTCAACCAATGAAAAGAATCCAAAGAATGACACAGCCAAGCATTTAAAAGAAACGTTATTTAATATGGAAACGTGGTATAAAACAATACAGGTCGTAATGTGAAACTGTATGACTAAATAATAAAGTACAAGGTGTGGATAATGTCTATTGACAATATAACAAAAGATATTACAAAGGCTGAGATATCTTAATTGGATTTGCTCTATATATTCAGTAGTTATCAAAGTTTGTGTTTTTCATGTATCCTGTTGATGAAAATGGCGCTGTTAAATGAACCCCTAACATTTCCAGGGTGGAGTGTAAGGGATGGCCCAATTCATTGGTCACCTCATTCACCTGAACTCCTTTCTATGGGGTTATGTTAAAGATATCGTGTAACGAACAAAGAAACGGGAGATCACTGATTTAAGGCAAAAGATCACTGGTGCCAATGCCACCATTGATGGGTCTAAGCTGCAGCGAACATGGCAAGAAATCGAGTGCCGTCTTGATGTGCTTCGTGCAACTAATGCTACCTATATAATTGCCGACATCTGCCTTAGGGAATTTACTCCATCAGTTTTTTTTGTAAAAGAGAAACACTATTTACCGTAAAATCTGCTCTGAATAGTAAAATAGCAAATGCAATAAAACTAAAACATAAATTAGAAAAGCTTTGAATTGCTTTTATAAATAAGATATATTAAGGACACTATTGTCTTCAGGAGAAAAAAAGAATTTTCGATGAGTAATGAATTTTTACAAGAACTGTTTTCTTTTTTAAAATTTTAATTAGAATAATTCATTAAGTTTTGCATCTTAAAATTCTGTATTAATTTCACCCTTATCGATGATACTATTATTAAGTAAAATGTATACTTACTAATCATAAATTGAAAAGATTAGTAATATTCATCAAACAATATTTTTAAAAGAATTTTGAATTTGTTTTATATATATATATATATATATATAAACGTGCAAATTTTTGTAGATACGGTTATTTATACACGACATTATCAGAAAATAAGTCTATAGTAAGTTTAAAGCTAAAATATCAAAAACTTAATAAAAGAATTAGATTACGGGTAATATTTGCCTAAATTTTAAATATTACTGAGTACTTAAAAATTATATGTAAAGGCGCTCACCTTTATTTTCTTCAATTATATTTACAGATAAAGCTCCTGTCGAACAACAATAGATAAACATCTATCTGTCATCAAGCTGTTAACACGTCAATAGATTAAATAAACAGCTACCGCCATGTTAAAAAATTCATTTCTGTGATATTTTAAACTTAAATTAAATAATAGTATAATTGTTTCAAATCAGATTAATTATACTTTAAATCAGCTAACATTCTTCAAATAAATTTTCAGAAAGTACATTTTATTTTTGGAAGATTGTTTAATAAAGAAAATTACATTGCGATGAATGACAACTAAAAAACAATTATTTTAGCAATAAAAAAAACTTCTTCAAGTCAATTTAAAATAGTTTTGAAATCGAGCAACGTATTTTGCTTATTTGAAATATTAAATTTAATGCGCCATCTAGAAGTAGACATCATTCGACTGCTTGAAACATGAAAGTGAAATAAACAGCTAAATATATTCCTGTTCCACTTGGATACAATACATTCTTCTGTACTGTTTGTGGACTTTTGTGCAATTCTCCAGCTGGCCTCAAAAGGCATGCCCGTCATAAGCATGCAGATAATTAGTTCGTGGTCGTCAGAATCTCATACGTCGAACTCAACGAGAGAGTCCATCATTAGTTTGAGATTAAATCTAAAATAAGAGCTTCAAGAGATGTTTTTCATTTTTTTAATTCATTTTAAACGTTATGTATAGCCTTTTCTAAAAGTCAATCATTTTTTTTAAAAGATAAACAAAATATGTAGAGGAGGAATAGAGCTTTAAAATAAACTCATAAAACACCGGTAAAAATATTTTGCGTATTAATTCAAATAACGTTGTAAAAAACGAACGGATTTATGTGACAAACGTATATTTTTCTCTAACAGCATGGCCCGGCGTTGCCCGTGCTTGATTCAAAAATCGTACGACTTGTCGGAGTTACCTCCTCTTTCGCTCCTTAAACTGAGAGAACAGGTCATCTCGGACCTTGACCTCTCGTTTGTGCCCCTATACACTGTTAAACTGTGGTAGAGACTAGCAAGTTTCCTTTTTTAGTTAAGTTATATTACAAACCTAGTTGTAATATACTTCTAGACATTTTTAGGCCATAGTTCCCTTTAGCTAACCTCGTCGTATTTTATTATAGAGCCTTTACTGTTAGCTTATCCAATT